ACCCCGCAGCAGCCGCGACCGGTCGGACTCTGAACCCGCTCGCTGACGGGGCTCTCCTCAGCTCACCTTCTGTCCTCCCGCTACAGTCCTGAGGTGTCTGCCTCTTGAGAGAGCTGTCCCTCCGAGAAGAGGAAAGACCAGGAGTTGGCAGTGGGGGTTCTGGGGTCATGGCGTTGCTCTCGGGCTGTGGCGCGATCCTGCCTGCTCTGAGAGTTGCTAAGGGTTTGGAGGGGAGAAGGGGCAGCCGGAGTGCTGGGGTGTAAGGAGCTTGTGGGGGATCCAGTGCTCTTTACATGGTAACCTTTTTGGAGAGGTGAGATAAGGATGTGCCTTATAATGCAAAATGGAGGCTTGGTGGAGACCATAACTGCAATGAGGCCTCTCAACACCAGCAAGAGGCTCCCAATAAGCCCTAGCAGCGAGAAACAGTAAGGTAAGGAAAGGATCACGATTCAATATCTTTCCTTTTCTTTTTAATTTTGGCCAGCCCTGTCCGACTTCATGCAAACTGAGTACCTGAAACGCTCAGGGGAATGGGACGTGCTCTTGCTGTTGGTGTACCAAGTCCTGCCTATTAGAGGCAGTGGGAGGAAGTATTGCAAAACAAGACGTGCAGCATTTCTTCAAACTGTAAAGAGGGATCTGGGAGACTTGTCTCAAAAAGGGGCTGTTTTGCTTTAGAAGTATGAAGAACCTTCCCAAATGGAGCATGTTTTCTCCTAGTAGGGTCTCCAGAAGTGGGTAACCTGTTCCACAGGTGGCCTCAATAGTACTTATAGGCAGTAAAAGCTTTGTTTTTCATGATTATTGTAAGTATATGTGTCCTTTTGTAATGTTTGGTTTTCTTCTAACAGTGCAACATCAACCTGTAATCTGCTTTAACCTCCAATCCTGGTTTGCAGTGCTGTTACCTGACCCCATGTTTTAATTTTCTGTCTCTGCAGATGATTGTTCCTACTTAGAAGTAGTTACTGGGCCTTATGACCTTATGACTTTCTTTTTCCTTCAAAATATTTCCCCCAGTTCTTTGACATCATTTTGAATTTTGATCTTCCTCTCTGATGGGTTTGTTGACAGCCCAGCAATCATCTATAAGTGCCATAAGCATTATTAGTGAAAACACTGAAGTGTTTGTCAGCCACACTTTTGGAGGCAGACCTCAATGGTCACTGCTTACTGGAGGCATTCCTTTGCTTCATTTTAATGAGAGTTGTTATCCTGTTGTTCAAACAGCTGAGCAAACAGCTTTGCTTCACTATTGCTGATCAGATGTTGACCTGAGATCACAAAATGCTGTTCCTTGCAATATTTCCAGTCAGCTTTTGTGTCTTATTAAATGCTGTGAGGCAGAGTGAGCCTCCACTTCATATGCTTGTTTATAGATTTTTCAAGGTAGAATAAAGTGGAGCTGGTTTTCACTTTAAGTAATTCCTTGAAACTCCTTTAGTGCCTTGGCTAGTCAATGTACCACTGCTTCCTGCCCCAAAAGCTTTCACTTTATTTTCCAGGAGGCAAAAAGAGAAATAAGCAAGTTTCTCTGCCTTGCTTGTCACTTCAAGCATATGTCCTGTTAGTCAGAGACAGTGACTGTGCTGCTTTTATTTTTCTAGAGATGATACTCCGCACGTCCCCAATGAGAAACTTGGAGAAGAAAAAGTTCTGCACATAATAGAAAATCTGACTTCTCTGATAAAAGAGACATTTCCAGGTAGGATTTGAGTGGATGAGAAGGGGAGAGGAGCACAGAGTCTCTCGGGACTTACTTACCACCAGGGTGGAGAAATGACAGAACTGGGACGGGGAAAGGCACAGAAGTGCTGTGGTCATTGGGACTTGTTTGTCTTCTTCCTAGTTGCTGTGGCGCGTGAGGTGTGTATGAATTGAGGTGTCTGATGCCAATTGTTTCAAGTGAACTCACTCAGAAGACAGGAACATAAACATTTCTGTAATTAGTCATTAAGACAAAAAAGGCTGCAAGATTTCCTCACACTTAGTCCATGTCAGCAGTGGGGGAAGGAGCATTATTGATGGTGAAAGCTCACTGATTCTTCTGTAAAGCTGTGGCTCTGTGGTGGCTTGTTCCGAGGAGGGATGGTCTTTCCAGTGTTGTACACCCAGTCAATGCAACCACATCGCTGTGGTGTGGATGATTTGCTTTTGCAAAGCTCTTGAGCCATGCTATTCTTTCCAAGTCTGTGAATGCCTCAGAGAGCTTTGGTGCTGAGGAACTCTGAAGCAAGCATGGGTTCCACTGTGCCTCCTTTTCTCTGTCTCTAGATACTAAAGTCTACACAGCGATGGGCAATCATGATTTCCACCCCAATGAGCACAGGATCTACAACCTAACAGCTGAACTGTGGCGTCCCTGGCTGAATGATGCTTCTCTTCCTCTTTTCAGAGCAGGTATGGCATCACTGGCTCATGTTGGCAGCACTCTGGGGAGATAGGGGTGGTTAGGAAAATACTACAAATAGTTTTCCCTGCTTCTATGCTCAGAGCAACAGTATTTGTAGAGTATTTGCAGAGAAAGGGTCCAATTTAATGCTGATTTCCAGTGACGAGTTCTCCTACGTGTGAGAAAAGAAATCTCTTTAAGCTTTAGTCTCTCCTGCTTTCCTTGAGTTACTGGAAAGTGTCTCTACAGAGAATGCAGAGTGGTGAGCTTCAGTGGAAGAAAAAAGATCTTTCAAGAAAGCTGCTGGTGCAGGCCAGCACTGTGGCTCTCTAGGGCTGCCCAGCTCCTGGTGCTGCACACTGTCCCCATGCAGGGTCTCCCTTCACCTGGAGAGGCATAAGCACAAGAGGTATGCAGCAGTCACTCTAAATGCCCATCCTGGAATAGTCAGAGCGCTGGTGGCACCTTGTCCAGACAGTGACTCTGCTGTGGCTATTGCCAAGGAAAGCTGAGAGGGATGGAAACAAAGGGATCTAGGGTCACAGCAACCAGTGTGACCAGACCTCCGTCTCTTTCCCTGATGGGTGCATTTTTCAGGAGCTTTCTACAGTGAGAAGCTGCCCAGCCCAGGGACAAGGGGGCGAATGGTTGTCCTCAATACCAATCTGTACTATGACCAGAATGACGAGACAGCTGGTGAGGAAGATCCTGGAGGGCAGTTCCAGTGGCTGGAAGAAATACTGACCAATGCCTCTAGAGCAGATGAAATGGTATTAAAAGAAATGAATAAAGAAATTTTGTAGGGGGCTTCTCTTGGCCTGGAAGCTCTTCTCGCTCCTGTTCTCCCCCCTGTGCAGTCACAGCAAGCCAACGCTCTGTGGGAAGCATGGGCTCTGCATTCAGTGCAACTCTCTGCTTCTGTAGGTCTACATCGTGGGGCACGTCCCTCCTGGCTTCTTTGAGAAGAAACGAGGCAAGCCCTGGTTCCGGAGTGGCTTTAATGAACGATACTTGAACATTGTGCAGAAGCACCACAGAGTGATTGCTGCCCAGTTTTTTGGGCACCATCACACGGACAGCTTTCGGATGTTTTACAGTGATACAGGTACCAGTTCTGGCCACCCAAGCATTTGCGTGATAGCTCTGCCAACCCCCAGAAAGTCACTGTTGATGAGAGTTTTCAGTGGCTGTTAGCTGAATGCAGCTGAGAAGCCAGAAAAGGCTTGTGAAATGCTTTGGTCTGTTGAGACAACAGTGGTTCTGACCTCTACCTTCACCCCCAGCCTGTAGCTCCAGCCCTCAAATTTTGTCGTTTCCCTTTAGTGCCTTGCAGCTTCTTGCCTGCTCCCTATTGATGGGTTTTGGACTTCAGCTGAGACATAAGGGAGCAGTTCCGAATCTTTGCATTTGGGTTACGGGTAGTGCTCTGAGTGTCCTTTGCTGAGCGTGGTTCTCTTGTGCACCCTTACAGCACAAGTCTTTGACAGCAGTGGAAAGCCGGTTCTCGGTTGCAGCAGCCCCATGTTCAATCCCTGGTGCTGCTCAATGTGCGTGCACTGTTATAACTAGGGCTGGTGACAAAGCTGCTGTGTGATCGGTGCTCACTGCAGCATGGACAGAGTGTGATACAAGCCAGGATCTCCCATTCATGGGTTACTTTGCCTTTCTGTTAAGGTTCTCCAATCAGTGTCATGTTCTTGGGCCCTGGAGTGACTCCCTGGAAAACAACATTACCTGGAGTGAACAATGGAGCCAACAATCCTGGGATTCGGGTGATCGACTATGATCCAGACACCCTTCAAGTGTTGGTAGGGGATCCCTGTGTGCTGCACACTGCAGTTTTAGAAGGGAGCTTTAATTCCCTCATGTGGTTTTAACAGGCAGGACTGCAGGAGCCAAGTGGCTATGTAGGAGAAGACCTCAACCACAATATTTAAGCTTCGTGTCTAGCTCTTAGTAAGAGCATTAGTGAGTAAAGGCAAGATGACTGCAGTCAGCTGCCCCAGGCCTTCTGCTGGGATGAGTTCCCCAGGGCAGTGCAGGACAGTCTTTGTCGAGTTCTTTATGTCTTTAGCTAATTTCCTTTGACACTTGCTTTACTACTCGTGCAGAACTTATCTTTGGGGACTGACAGATTTTTCAAGCCACCTCCAAAAACTTTTAACTGGCTAGAAAATTATTTGGGTCCCCCCTGTTTGCTAAATTGATTCATTTGTAATGGATCTGAATTTAGGTGAATTGTAGGGGCAGCTTCTGTTTCATCAGTCTCTTATTTGCAAAGAGGTAGAAGATACGGTGTTTGTACCTTTCTTTGCAATGGGTAAAGCAGCTCTGTAGATGCTCTGTTTACATTTTTATAGCATGAGAAATGAATGCTAAAATATACTGCAGAAGGCTGGGGAGCTAGTGAAGCAGAGAGAAAAAGGGCAAAAGACTGATAACAGAAGTTGTGAAAAACTATTCTTTAGTTTGCTCACAGTTGAGAAAATAACTTCACTCAGTAAGTAACACTACTCCAACCCTTGCTTCAGCTAGTGGACAGTGTTGATGGTAACAGAGTGATTCTGAAGCAGGCCAGGCTCAAAATTGTTTAGAGATAAAAGTCAAGCAGCCACCCTGTCATCCCTTACGAAACAAGGTGCTTTTGTGGTGAGTTCTGGAGGTTCTCACTGGAGGTGTCTATCCCCACATCTCAGTAGAAAGCACCTGTTGGGAGTCAGCTCACCCCTCGCTGGGCAGGGAGATGTGCTGCCTGCGGTGAATACACATCTGTGGTGCTGCACACCAGTGTCTGGGAGAAGGGCCTGATTGCATCCTAGCCAAACATTTTACTCACACTCAAGGGCTGATCCTTTCCTCATTTGTCCTCATTTTGTTTTTCTCTCCCTGCAGGATATGGTGACTTACTACTTGAACCTAACTCATGCCAACATGATGGCCGCAACATGGGAGGAAGAGTTCCCAACATGGGAGGAAGAGTATAGGCTGACAGAAGCCTTCCAAGTCCCTGATGGCTCTGCGTGCTCCATGCAAACGGTGCTGGAGAAGATATCGAAGGATCCACACTACCTGCAGCAATACTACGAGTTTAACTCTGTCAGATATGACCTCACTCCATGCGAGGAGGCCTGCCGCATTGACCATGTTTGTGCCATCAGGGAAGTTGATTTTACAAAATACAATGAGTGTCTTAAAACCAGCAGCTCTGCCTCGGCAGTCATCAGCGTTTGGCTTTTATTTTTCTGCTTGCTCTCAGGATTTCTCAGTCCCCAGCAAGCACTCCAATGACTGAGAGCAAGAGAAAATTAAGAGAGCACAAGTTCACGATGCACATGAATCAACAACTGTCAATGCGAAAAGAATTCACAACTTAACCTGATTTAAGATGAAATCAGTGGCTTTTAGTAAAAGCTCTATGATGTTGATTTGAAATCTAGAAAGGCTTGATGTATCAGGAAAGGGCAGTGATTGCTACAAAGTCTTTTTGTGACAGACTGACTTGTGTCAGGGAGTCTGTCTCCCTTCTGCTGTGACTTCTGTGGTTGTCTCACAAATCAGATGACGACCAAGCCTCCCCGTGGACTCCAACTTACCATGGATGAGGGCTCTGAGCTGCTGTGTCTTCCTGAGGAGTTTGCTGCCAGGTGGGTTCCTCATGTTGGTGCACACTTCTCTTCTGGAAAGATGACAGAACTGGCAACCAGGAAGGTCTTGTTTTGGTGGCCTTGTACAGCAGCAGCCTTGCCTTTGGCCTATGAGCAAAGCCAGGGGGGATTAGTTCTTCCTTTGGCAATGTGTGAACTTCAGCAGATTTGGGCCATGACTTTCACATGTCAGTGCCCAAGATGAGGCACCAGAGTAAGAAGCTTCAGTATTATTATTTTCTTAGTTTTTATTTCTCCCCCCTCCCCCCCCGTTGCTGAGCATAAACAGCTCTTCCCTCTTCCCTTCTATGTTCTCTTAACTTGCATCCACTTAGTTTTTCCTTCAGTTGGGTATTGCAAGCTGACCTTGACTGCTTCACCATTAAGAAACACTGAACCATTTGGTGATTTACGAACTTTGGGCTTTGCTAGCTTCTCTGAGAACCTCGAGGGAACCAATACAAAGTGGTGGTGTTGGACCCTTTGGGTACGGGTGAATGAGACACGGAAGGGATATTCGTGTTGTCTGTAAA